TCCCATAGCAATTGCTATGGATAGCCCCATCATTCGCGAGCTTGTTTGGTCTCCGTAGTAGCCTACGATGAAAATTTAGTTTCTACATGTGTACTAGTATGCAAAACCCGGGGTAACCTACTTCAGACAGAGGGACCAGTATTAAAAGTTAGAGGTGTTAGACGTCTGACACACTCCGACACGCAAGTCATCTAAAACTACAGATCGGCCATCCTCAGGAGGAGACGTTTTACTATTAAACGCCTCGGTTCTTTCAGTTAAACCCACGAAATGTTGACGTTAAATCATTATTGGCTACGTTTTTACCTGATAATTAGGTTAAACATTGTGAATAATCCGGATACAATCGAAACGTTCGTACGGATAAGTGCTATATACAAACACCAAGATATACTTGATATCCCTTTTCGGCCAAAATGTTTGGTTTGTGCTCAATCTTTAAATTTAATAGATATAGTTTTAAGTCAACAAAAAATTAACCTGGTTCCATATATCTCCGTACAAAAAGGCCGGTTGGTTTGATCGAGTAATAGAATTCTATTACTCGATCAATTTTTCACCAATCGAAAATCTGAACCGTACCTTCTGTTGGGCTTGTCCAGTTCTATCGTTATTACGGTATATTTTCCTAAATAATATCAATACAAAGTTGGAATAGTGTAGCTGTCGAAAGTCAAGGCATTTATTTGTAGTCTTTAGGTGACTTGCACCATACGCTAGACAGTACTTCCGGACCGAGGTTAGTAGAAAGGGCCATTAAAAAGTGCATGAATACTATCCACCTGATATCCCATGGGTGTATCCCAAATTGCTATGGATAGCCCCATCATTCGCGAGCTTGTTTGGTCGCTTGGTCATTCTTCAATATGCCAGCCATGGTCAAGATCATTGTAGCTGCCTTGTCCGCCGGTGTCGCGTCTGCTTTCGGCACCATCTCCGAGTTTCCGACAGAGATGACCAGTCTCATGGATCAAACCGTGGATCCGTGCACCGACTTCTTTTCGTATTCGTGCGGGACGTGGTACAATAAAACCACCCTCGACGCCAACCAAAGTACTATAAGTGTGCTCACTGTGCTTGCGGCTGCGGCGGACAAGGAGATCGAAAAGTTGTTGAACGCCAAGCTGCCTAAACTCGCCGAGTTCTATGACGCGTGTATGGACACTGCCACTTTAGACACCTTGGGCTTGGCTCCCATCGAAGTTCACCTCAAGGCCATCCGCAGCGCCAACACGACCGACGAAGCCATCTTTCGCGGCGCAGCCATCTCCAAGGCCACCGGCGTACCAATGTTCGTGAAGCTGTCGGCCTCGCACGACGCCATTGAAATCACCCGCAACGTCTTGAATGCCGAACCTGTGGAATTACCGTTGGACCACAATGATTTCTACGGACAAGTGTGGTCCTTGATTGAAGAGCCGTACCGCAACTACATTGCCTCGATCTTCAGGCTGGCCGGTCACGCGGAGGCGGAGGCGGCCACCAACGTCGTGATTTTCTTTTTACGCACCACTGCCGGGGTAGATCTGTCCAATCGCAGGCTCCAATCGGCCGTGACGTCCGACAACATCCAGTTGTCGCTCAGCGCCGCCAACGCGTCGTATCCATTGGGGGTAGGTCTCCAATTGCAAGCGTTTGGGTTCGACGTCCGCGAAAGGTCCAACACGACCACAGTCGTTGTGAAGAACTTCCGTTATTTGGACGGCATAGAAGGGCTTCTCCCGTCTTGACCGTCGACAGCCTCAAGACCATTATCGAGTACAAAGTGCTCGACTTCAACGCGCCGTTCCTGTCAACACCGTTTGTGGAAGCACACTCGAACTTCCTTTAAGATTAAAAATGGCCTCAAAGTACCCCCGTCGCGGGCCATGATCTGCCGCACTCAGGTGGAGACGTCCATCGGTGAACTGCTGGGCTCGTACTATCTCAAGGAAGTGTGGACGGACAAGACCGCCGCGGAGGCTAACTTGCTCGTGTTGAAGCTGAAAGCGGCCTTCATGACCGGGCTAGAAAGCGCGGAATGGCTCGATGACGCAACTCGGGCCAACGCACAGGACAAGTTGTCCAAGCTCACCCACCTCGTGGGGGGGCCTAAGAACCCCAAAACGTACCCCACCTTGACGTTTGACCCCAAGGCATACATTGCCAACCTGAACAAGGTGTCTGCGTTCGACACTACTTTCAACCTAGCTCTTATCGACACTGCCGTGGACAAGCATCTTTGGAACAAACTTGCGCAATCCATGAATGCGGTCTACCAGCCTTCGAAGAACAGAATCGTGTTTACCGCCGCCTTCTTGCAACCCCCCTTCTTCGATGCCAAGGCGGACCCGTCCGCGAACTATGGCGCCATTGGCTTTATCATCGGCCACGAAATCTCCCACGGCTTCGACACGCCATTGGCTTTATCATCGGCCACGAAATCTCCCACGGCTTCGACAACCATGGCAGAAGATACGACGGCAACGGCAAAAAGAAACCATGGTGGACGGAAACCACGGCGAAAATATTCCGCGAAAAGGCCGAGTGCTTCGTCGACCAGTATAGGTCCATGGACGTCAAAAGCGAGCTCACGGGGGATTTGCTCGGCAAGTTGGACGGAAGAAGGACAAGGGGGGAAACCATCGCTGACAATGGGGGCCTCAACACTGTGTACCGAGCGTACCGGGACTTCGTGAACGCCGAGGTCGAAGCCACCAAGTACACCAAGGAAGCAGGCGAAAAGATGTTTTGGATCAGATACGCCCAATCGTGGTGCGAAAAGAACAGCGATGCGCGCCTCCAGTTTCTGCTCACCGACGTACACCCCCCTGGTCGCCACCGCT